GCAAGATGCTAAAAGTTTGTTAAGGAATAATTTCAAGATCAGAGAATGTTCGGGAAAACAATTAACCATAGGATCTTTAAATTATAATTATTTTCGTTAAGAGCTAATATCAAAATTATCTGGTTAGGAAATTACAAAAATACCCTTGAGAGGTAAAATAGTTTGAGTTGACCCTGAATGAGAAAATACTTTGAGGATTCGCACTTAAATCGATTAAGTACGGATTTGATTGTTAAGATCCTGACTTAGTGAAGAAAATTTCTGATATTCCGTTGGTAAAAATCTGAGAAGGCACTTGACTAGAAAATATCCGAGTAATAAGTAAATACCTGAAGAATAATTTATCGGGGGTATTCTGTTGTCAGAATTGTTCGAAAGGACTGAAATAAATGATAAGATTGAATTTAATAGTAAGATCAGACGGAAGAAAATGATTAAAATACACTAAATCTGTAAAATGACCAAAATACCCCTATAATGGAAATGACCCAATAATACCACCAAGCTTAAGAATGATTGGATACCCTCGAGCTCTGAAATGAATGGAATAAAATTGAGCACCAAAATGACCAAAATACCCTTATGACCTTGAATAAGTAAATGTCTTGGATTAATTAAGAAATCCAAATAAACATGGATGTTTTGCTACCAATAAAAGTTATGGAACGCAGCTTAAGTGATAAACCAACGCTAGTGCTATATCCTTACCTGAATGATATAAGTACCACTTGAATGTTTGTTCGTCTTCTCAAATTTGGATCGATGATAATTCTGGAAGTACTTGGCTCAACTCAACTCTAGAGCGCATACAGTACTAATAAATGGGTATTCGTGAGACAAATCAACCACGGATACCATAATGACTTTATTATATGACTAAATTGAACTGAAAGGAAGTACAACATGTATTTGAAATTCAGAAACGTCTGGATTATTCTGGAAAACTCTAAAGTAACTGGGATAGACTTACTTACTAAACAAACTAAGTAACCTCAATGACTGAGGATTAAATAGGTGATTGGATGAGTTTAGAAACACTGTTGGACTTACATGATGAATTATCCTTATGGGTTAAGAACCATAAATCAAGTACGTCCGTATTTCCTGATATCGTTGAAACATGAAAATGAAATAAAGACCGTTGGAAGATCTATTCAGCGATGATTATGGGGATGATCTATGGATATGCATTATGATATTAAAGAGTGAATACACTAGAAGGATAATGAATTGACTTTTGACATGTATCAGTTTGGGAGTTGTGTAACTCGAGTTGTTTGATAATACGATCGATAGTCATAGATTGTAAATGACTTGAATCTTCGATTCTATATTTTCATCTAAAATCATTTCGGTCATGTTTGAAAACGCAAGTAACGCAGAAGGAAAAGATTCTGAATACCTCATTTGGTTCAATTGGGCTGAAATCCTATGAATTCAAAGTATATTCCTGAATACCCCTAATTGTTTGGGTAATGGAATCACTCGCAGTAAATCTAAATTTAAAATTATTATGTATAAAGGTTCTTGAACGTTTTCCTGAGGCACATGAAACCTTAGTGGAATTCTAAAGTATCAATTTGAAATGTCTGATTAGATTAGTTAGAAACCGATTCTCTTCAATAAAATCTTATTCCTGGAATCTGATCAAATTGCACAAGTTCATGTTATCCATACTGATAACTACAAAATGCATCAGAAAATTATTTGGATTCTCTAGTGTGTTCCTTATATTTTGAAAAATTGTTTTATTGTTTTAATATGTGGTACACTGAAATCTATGGTTACTGTTTTATGGATGCACCGACTTAACGGTGATGGCTTATGGATTTTTATCATTGTATAAAATATATCTTGGAGATACAGATTTGTAAAGTACAGCTCTGATCAAGCTGGAAAATTTTTATGGACCTAATGTGACTCTTAGGTAGGCTCTATGGCCCTGAGATCATTCTCGGGTAGGCCCTGCAAGATGTGTTCTTAGATAGACCCCGTGGCCCCGACCTTTCTTGGGTAGGCTCTCAGGCCCTAAGATGTTCCCTTAGGTTAACTCTTTGTACGATGGTTTTAAAAATACGAGTTTAAAAAGCTCTACTACATTATGGTTTATGGGATTTACTAAACTATCATTTGATTAATGTACCTATTATGATTTTATCGTACTGATGGAACACACTAGACATCCTATTCGACCTCATGAAACGTGACTGTATGAAAGGTTTCTTATGAACTGATATTCATGGCTTCTACTCAATGAACTACTAATGGAACCCCAGATTTTTCCGCAATTGGTATACGTTTGATTCAATAAGGAAATTATGGCTTCTCATTTATCTGCATGTCCTGTAGCATAATCTGGTAGTTATGTATTACTGAGCTTTTTGAAGCTCACTCTATTACTCACCAATGCAGGTTAAAAGAATTATACCAGTGCAGCTATCGATTTCAGTAAGGGAGTTCTTCCGGCGTTGCAGAGTATGGTACATGTGATTAGGGGGCATGCAATTGTATTTTATTTTATATATGAGTATGAAAATATGGTTTATTTCGAATACTAATAACTTTTATTTTGTATTCATAAATAATTTTATGAGTTTACAAGTTTTAAGAAAAGTTTTAAATTTTCAGCTATTTTTACGATGGTCGCTCCGGTGGCCCTAATGTGACACTCCAGATCGGATCGGGCTATCCGCATCGGTCTGAGGGGGTTACAACCAACGTACTTGAGTCGTACTCCACAACCTTTAGGGGTGATATAATACTTACGTTTTCTCAGTGTTTCCAGAATTATCAAACAATATTCACTTATTTCTAGGTCATGAGGGTAATCAGGTCATTTTTGTACTCGATATTGCTTCAATCATCTTAGAGTTCAAGGTATTCCAATCATTTTATTTTATTTAGTCAAATATATATCATTTACAATAATTAATCATCGTGTGATTATTTTAAAATCAGAAATTTTATCCCCTTGGGAATTAAAATCGGTAAACATGATGTTTCTGAACAAAATGAGTATTTATCAAGTGAATAAATAGTCTATCAGATCAAGGATGACGTTTTAGGGTTATTTTATTTATTACTGATCGTGAGAATGAGGAACCGATTTCCAGGTCTTCCAACCGATTTACAGGTCTTTCAAACAAGGCAGGAGTTCAGTTGGTGGATCTATAGTTCTATCAGGTCAAGAATGAATTATCAGGTTAATTTCACTATTTGAGTCAATTTCATTCCCTTTTTACTTCTAAAGGTATTTTCGTAATTTCCTTTCCAAACATTTTCGACATCAAAACATTTAACGATAATATTCAAAGTTTAAGGATTCTAAGATTAATTCATTTGTCTATTAATTACTAACCTTAAATTTATTTCTTATCAATCTATCAATTCATTTGTGCAATTCAGTCAAGTCTTAACAAATTTATCACTTAAATTGTATTCAGATCGAGTCCACCCATAACCAAACATTCATATTAGACCAATCATATACATCCATACATTTATTCAGTATCAACATGTACCATAAAGAATTCAAAGATGTAGTAAAATATTACCTCGATTTTTAGCCATATCGGTTAACCAATTAAACTTAATTTGATCGTCCTTGAACTTTAATTCCACGTCTCATAATGTCTCAGATACATGGAAAAACCAATTACATTAGAAACGTAACTTAAACGTGAAAATCTGTATTGAATCATAGATAAAATGCCGAAAACATCTTACCGAGTTTAAATTTGGCAAAACAGACTTCGAATTCGGACTCGGGACATCAAAAACATAAATACGACTTTTCAGAAAATTTAACTTTTTGGTCAAAGTCAACGGTCAAAGTCATAGTTAACGGGCATGTCAACGGTTTGGGTCAAAGTCAATAGGTCAGACCAATTCGAGTTGACTCAGTTCAATCCGAGTTGACTCGATCTAGTTAAAAAGACCCGGTTCAAACCTGGTTGGGCAGGTTCGATCCACTTGGACCGTTTCTAGAATGAGTTACAACTGGAGGAGGAGCCCTATGTGCACGCAGCGGCGACGAGATCAAGGGAAGCAACTGACACTCTGGTAGCACCAAACATCACTACATAGCCATTTCAACACTCAAACCCAGCTAAAACCATCAGAATCAAGAGAACAAGGTCGAAACACTTACTCAAACCGGTGATCAACGACGGAGCGACGATGGGTTACGGTCTCGATCGAGTTTTGAGTGCACGGAGGCGACTAGTCCAACCATGCCGACGGTAAGGCAAACAGATGACGCTGGTTGCCAGATTTTGCAATTAACCGAGGTGACGAGATGAGGGTTTTGACGATGATTTAAAATTTAATTCGCGCTGATTGACGCCGAATCACGCTATAGTGGTGTTTGGCTTTGATCATCGTTTGAGGGTGACGGTGCACTCCAAAGGTGGTCGGACGATGTTGATTTGATAGAGGGGCTGCAACTAGGGTTTGAGGTAGGGAATTTGAGGATTTTCAGGTGTTAGCTAATCCAAAACCAATAAAAATGAGTTTTAATAATTTAAAATTCAATATGAACCTAGCTTATGTGGTAGGGGTGAGGGTTGCACTGTTGTAGCACGTGGATTCAAGACCCTACAACTGTATCCTTACCTAAAAAAAATTTATTTTATTATTTTTTTAGCTGACAAGAGATGGACAATTTCAAAGTTGGGTCTCTCAACTATCGTTAAGCTTGTAAAACAACCGTCATACTTCAAAATCAAGCATTTTAGTCTTTAACTTTTCTTTTTTACGACTTTAATTTAATACTTTAATTAATAAAATTTTGTCTCTAAATTGGAGTGTGACAAATATTTTGATAAAAAGTTTAGTAGCAAGACTTTCTTTATCTTGAAAAATTTAAAATTAATTCTCTTACGAATAAATACATATTCCTAATGGATGTATGGACTCCTAATGTATAGAGAGAAACCGAATCAAGCAGAAAAATTATGGCAATGTCTGAATCATTTGTTCATCAACTGTAATTGTTGGATCTAAGAGCTTGTTATATGATTTAGCTTATCTTTCATGGTTATTTTCTCTAGTTTCCAACCATCCTTGAGCCTCGCGATAAAGGTCTCAGCTTTAACATTAACATCAGGATCCTCCATCATGCTGTCCGTTGCCACATCATCTTTGCTTGATGAAACATCAATATCAGTTTTCTCAAATATTTGTGTTATTTTAAATGACAGTGGTGGTGGCGGCGGCTGCATCGGGATTAACGGTAACTGTCCACCGTTGTTCATTTTTTCTTCGCAATAACTGTTAGTATTTACATATGTCGGCGATGGCGGCATGCCGCTGTCGGTCGTGACTCGTCTCCTTGAAGGTTCAGGTGGCGGTGCTGATGGTGGTGGTTTAGACTGTGGCGGGGTCTAATTGTTTTGGTTTGATAATATTTTCGTAGAAACAAGTACCCGTGGCAGCGGAGGTGGTGGTGGTGGGATCTCAGTGTTTTGTTTTGATAACCGTATTGATAAAGAAAACGTTGACGTTGGAACTGAATGAATTTGTTTGCTTTTGCCGCACTTTCTGAAGAGATCGTATTTTTGAAAGACCAGGGATGGAAGCGACGGCGGTGGTGGAGACGGAGGGGAAGGAGGGGAAGGTATAATAGAATAATGAGCTGGTGGCGAGTGCAAGGGGCATTCTTGTTGATGATTATGATCCTTTAACTTAATCTTCTTCTTTTTCTTCCTTGATGAATCAAGAACCATCTTTATTTCTTTGCTTGGATTACTTCTTCGTCGTTCCAATTTCTCATGCTTTACCTCTGCTATATTTCCCATTTCAACTAGCGGCGGCGGCAGGGGCGGTGTTACGGGCAGTGAAGACTTTATTTGTTTGAATTGATCAGCTTGATCTTTCACCTTCTCCTCTCCATCGGCTTGATAAGTTCGTCTTGGTTTATGGCGGGAAGCTGGAGGTGGAGACGGCGCCGGAAGTGGTGGAGACACAAAAGTGTCAACAGGAATGATCTTGGTTTCACATTCTTCAAAGTCACTTCTACACCTCCTACGAAGCTCATGAACTTGATCACGACAATTCGTCGAAGATCGATACCTGTTTAACTCGAAATCATCATAAAAACGAAACCGATCTTCATTATCATTCTTCCGCACATCCTGTCTCAGATTCGGGTACGAGCTACTGCTTCTCTTCAACGTCGTAACGCCGGTATCCGATGCCGATATCAATCTTTCTGAATACTAAACCATTGCTGCGAAACAAGGGGGCTTAGCTTGTCACTGTGGTTATTATCATCATTTCTGTTTATGTCGTCGCTGTTGTTATCTTCATCGTCGTTTCTTCTAGCAAAAGCACCGCAAAGAATCGCAAACGAGACTAGAACAATGTTGAGCGAATCCCAGTTTTTCTTTGCTCCGATGGGTCTTAAAATATGAGTTGCCGTGGAGAGAAAAGGAATGACGACAAAGAAAGAGACGAGTAATGCGGTGATGGGTAAGAGAATGAGGAGTACTGGTTGGGTGAAAATAGGAGATGGTGGCTGACTGCGGCGCGTAGTCGGCTATGGCCATGGCGGCGGAGGCTCTCCGGTTGTTTCCATGGGAAGACTATTGATTATTGGGTTTTCTGTATTTTTCGTTTTAGCTTTGTCTTAGCTTGGAAGACCACCAAAAATACCTTTATAAACTACAAGGAGAAAGCTTCACTTTTGAGGATATATAGACATTTTAGCAGATTAAATGGAAATTGAAGAATTATCAACCATCATTTTTTTGGTAGAGTATAGTATGTTACTTATAAAACTCTCTCTTAGTCAAAAGGTACTATTTTATTAAGTTTTGTAACCATTAAAAGTTATAAAAGATTGATTATATGTTCTAAATTTGTTTTTTTTTATTAAAAATTTTAGCAATCGTATGAGCTAGACGTTAATTTGTTGATTGATGTATGATAAAATTCGATTCTAAAACCGTTTGAGTAGTATTTTATGGATCGACTCTTCGTTTACATTATGCAATCGAATTAGTGCTTGAAACAATATGTCGTTAAGTCAGTGCTTGAAAGCAATGATGATATCACTATATATCATTAAAATACGATTTTAACATATCTCAATCAACAAGTTAATGCCTAGCTTAAACAACCATCAATTTTTAACAGAAAATGGTGAATTTAAAACATATGAATAGTCAGATGACAATTTTACAACTTTTAATAATCAGATGACCTAATAAACCTATAATCAGAAGACTATTTTATAATTTTTAATAGTCTATGACTCAACAAAGCAACACCCAATCTTTAAAGTAATGTTTATAAATTTTACTCTAATTTTTTTAACCATGTACAAGGAAATTTTTATGGGGATCTTTTAATTATTGGATTAAAACCTTAATAATAGAAAGATTATGTTTATAAGATGTTTTGTAGTATTATTTTAATTTTAAAATTTTATCTTTTGATTTTAAAATAATTTTAAAAAATATTCGATTGAAACACAAATCATACATCATCATATTTATCCTATATACATAATTGTTGTGTATCGCTCACCTCCATTGTAAGAATACTAAACAATTCCCTAAAGTTTTGGGGCACAGATTTTATCCCCAGACACATTTCACTACCAATTGTGTCGGCTAATGCCAATTGATCTTTGAAGGCTCATCACTTTATTTATTTTATATTTTTAAGTATTCAAACTCTAGTTGCAATTTTGTGTGCGTGTGACAAAACTCTTTATTTAAATTAATTGTGGTGAATAATATATGAGATCATTCACATAATTATAATATGAATGCGGATTATGCTCTCTTAGAACCCTCTTAGGGTAGAGATATAAAACCCCAAGTTAAATTGTTCATAAATACCTTGGAAAAATTATTTACATCATTAGAGATTTCGACCGAACAATTAAAAAATCTTTCAATAATTTTCTTTAGACAATAAGAAACCTGATGTTATTCGAATAATACTTTAAATTAAAGTCCGACAGATAAAGAAATATGATAATTTTATTCTATTTATTGATAAATTCGATCCAACCCCAAATATAATCCTTGTATGTATATTTATCGGATATAAAAAAATCTAGAAAAAGAAATTCAGTGTTTCTTTTGTACAACTCAATTATATGACTCAACGGCATGAAAACACTTGCAGATTCTTCTGCTCAATTAAGTGACGGAAGCTGATACTTTGTGAAGAGTATATCTTCCTGGGGAGAAAAGGATTTGGTTTCTGATTTGTGGTTTAGAAAGAGTTGTCTTCAAAAAAATTCCTGACTTCCTGCAGGGAAGAATTAAAGTTAAGCAACTCCCTAGGGTGGCACCAAATATCTATAGTCCACCCATTAAGTCAGACATGTTGGGCAATGCCAAAGTAAGAGGAAAACTCTTGCACCAAGACATTTCTAGTTTCTTTGTACATCATCCCGGCCTCACTGAAATTATATTTATGGGTACACCACACCAGATGGAAAGACAAAATCTGATCAGACAAAAGATATTTTTAAATATTGTTTTTTTTTGAGAGGGGCAAATTAGACAATGTGACATAAATATGCAAATCCATAAACTCAAGCTGAGAAAAGCCTGAATGTCTTCGCGTCCTTTGAAGGTTCTGTTGCTCTTGCGTATCGCATAGCATGTTTTGATGTTTCAAACTACATAAAAGTCATATATATATATATATATATGAATGTAATTTTTTAAGTTAATATATATGATATATATCATGTTGTTGTTCTTATTTGGAAATTATCAGTCAAAGAAGTCCCCTGCCTTAAAAAACTTAATCACGCGTCTTTTCGATCATAGGGGGGAAAAAACAACTCTGGGCTTTGACTTTTTGGAGTTTTAGTCAATGCGGCAATTCTATTTCTTTATTATATTCTTTTTCAGCCAACTACTTCAATGTCACTAAACCCTGACTCAGTCCAATTCTTCTTCTTCAATCTTCTTATCACTATTATTACTGCGCATACTTGTGTTTTTTTATTCATTCTTCTGCAGTGTCTCCCTGTTTAGCAGGTTTGCTATTTACCTATTGCTTTAACTAGACAGTTGTTCATGTTTATGATTCTTGAATATCTACAAGAATGTTTCTTTTACTTGGCTACTGTAGTTTTTTTTTTTTTGTTTTAAATGGATTGATTCTGGACGTTGGATATGTGAAAACCAAACAATTTGATTTTAATATTGATCAGTGTTTTATGAGGAACATCTTTTATTGTAGTTTTATGTGGAATAATTTACTGAAAATCATTTTAAAATTCTTTGTTAGTCTTTGAAGAACAATGGGAAGTGTTTGTTCTGGTGGAACAAAGGAGCAGAACACAAAGGTTGGAGAAAAGACTACAACAGGGTTTTCCGGGAAGCTCAAGTCAATAAAGAGCTTTGGTAAGAAAAAATCAAATTTACATTTACATTCCGGCACCAATGGCACTGCTGTTGATAAAGCACGGGAGAGGCACGACCCTGGTGGTGACTTTGAATCACAATTTTCCCTGGAATCGGAGCCACCGGCACCCCCTCGAAATTTGATTGCCAGGGTATATTGCTTGTTTCATCCGTATTGTTCCTAGTGTCTTATAAGTTGGTGTGGGCAGTGAATTTTATATAGCATTAAAGATGATGTGAGACTGAATCAGCTCTGGCCTATTGAATTCTCATTTCCTATTGGACCTTCATCTCTAAGAATGTCACCTTCTTACCTCTTCTATACTTGTTGGTTTCACAGAGTTCATTTCTCGGAAGAGCTGGCACCGTTGGCCTCGAAAGGGCAGTCAACGTTCTCGATTCACTCGGGAGTGGCGTGTCGAGCTTGAACTCAGGAAGTAGCTTCGTTACAGGCCTATCTTCAAGGGGGAATAAAATATCTATATTGTCATTTGAAGTGGCTAATACAATAGCGAAAGGAGCAAATCTTTTGCTGTCACTTTCAGAAGAAAACATTCAGTTCCTTAAAAACGATGTCTTAAATTCTGAAGCAGTACAAAAGCTAGTTTCTACAAACATGAACGAGTTGCTAAGCATTGCAGCGGCTGACAAGAGGTAGGTTACTTGATAGTTACTCTTTCTTTGTGCTTTAAATCAATGTTACTCAGATTGAGGTACGAGTATAGACAATTTGTGCATTGGATTTCTAGGGATGAATTGGATGCTTTTTCGAGAGAAGTAATAAGGTTCGGAGATTTATGTAAAGATCCACAATGGCACAACCTCGGCCGATACTTTTCGAAGTAAGAACTAATGTTGGTAGTAGCATTACTTTCAGTCTTACATTGCTGATGTTCACTGACTATCACAACCTAGCAGACTCGATACTGACAATTCGCTTCCGAAACAAACTCAAGCTGATGCAGACCAGACAATGAAAGAATTAACTTCTCTGGCTCACCATACCTGTGTAAGTTGATACTCTTTAGTTTGGAGTTTTGACCCCATATCTGATATGGTCTTCCTATCTCGTAAATTAGAGTTTATCTAATATATGTTTACATGCGTAGGAATTGTACCATGAATTGAATGCATTAGACAGATTTGAGCAGGATTGTAGACGAAGGCTGGGAGATATAGAGTCAAATCTCCCTAAAATAGGTTAGCCATGGATGATGATACGATCATCTTTACCGTGCTATTCAATCCATTTTTTATTATGCATCCACATTTTTAAACCATCATGGATTATTATTTTCATGTTTCTAATATTTGTTAGAGGCTGCTAACCTCAAATGCAGCATCCTACTAACATCTTTCTCTTTTTTTTTTAATTGAATTGTAGGAGATAGTATCATGCTTTTTCAAAGTGAGTTGAAGCAACAAAGAAAGCTTATAAGGAATTTGAAGAAGAAGTCTCTTTGGTCTAGAACCTTGGAAGAGGTATATATAACTATGTACTACTTGTTATCATTTCTGAAATGATGGTTACAAAAGTGTCGAGCGCAAACCCGTGTCTGATACTCACATTCAAGTCCGTGTCGGACAAGTCAACAATAGCAGTGATTGTAATTCTGTTATATTGCAGATCGTGGAGAAGTTCATCGATATCGTTACTTTTATGCATCAAGTAATCCCTGGAGCCTTTGGAGGTAATCATATAGATTCAACTCTTATGCAACTATAAGCATGAAAAAAATCATTTTGTGTCGTTTCATATTACATCAAATATAATTTCAAACTCATGGCTGACTCAGCATCAGTTAGAAAGGATACTACCGAAAATCCTCGAGAACTCGGTGTTGCTGGACTTGCATTACACTATGCTAATCTTATTAATCAGATTGATAACATTGTAAGTCTATGTCTTGCAAATTGTTCCTTTTACATCTACCAGATATATTGGCCTACCATATTGGATTAAACTGAATTTATATGATGTAGGCAGCTCGCCCGACCTCCCTTCCTCCTAATGTAAGGGACACGCTATACCACGGACTGCCACACACTGTTAAGAAGGGTTTAAGGTCCCGAATACAGTCCATTGACACCGAGGGAGAGGTATTGTTTTCGTTTGTTCTATAGTAACTTTGTCTCGTCTCTTGACTTCATCGTTTCTCTTTTTTGCATCATTTAGCTATAGAGTTGACTTTTTTTCTTTTTTCTGCAGAGTTCGATCTCGGAGGTCAAGGATGAGATGGAAAAGACACTGCAGTGGCTTGTTCCAGTTGCCACAAACACAAGCAAGTAGGTTAAAACTAGTTTTCTAAATTTTGATGTCATTTTGTGAGTAATATTTGGTTCATTGTTTTCCATTTTCTGCAATTTACAACAGAGCACATCAAGGCTTTGGATGGGTTGGAGAATGGGCAAATACTAGGTTAATGAAGCTTTCTCTATTTCTTTCAATTTATGTGTGCATTATCAATGATTTGGTACAACATTATAACAATGTTATCATGGTGTTTGTTTTCCTCCAACAGCATCGAATTCGGAAGGAATGAAGCCCCAAATGTTACCCTCACTCGGCTTCAAACACTTCATCATGCAGATAAACAGAAGACGGACGAATACATCCTTGAATTGGTGGCATGGCTTCATCATTTGATGAATTTAATAAAACTAAGAGATGACGGCATCAAGGCTCACCCACTTCGGTCTCCCACGAGCAAGGGATTGGTTTCTCAGTCCAAGATGCAGCGAGTTCTATCCCTAAACGGCATTACAGAACCCCAAAGGACCAAACTCTCCGAAGAAGTGAACTTGTTAAACAAAGCAAAGACGAGGAGATCGATCCCGAGGATCAGCAGGAGTCAGGAACTTCCTTTAGGGAAAAGCAAAGGCATCAGAGTTTTGGCATCAAGTAGGAGTGCCGGGAACTCTCCTGAGAGGAGTTTTGGGGAAAGAAAGACCTTGAAGGTTTCACACACAAATATATTGAATGTCTTGGATGGTTTATCTCAACCGGGGTGACATTTAAAAGAATTTCACCTTAACCATTTTGTATATAAATAATCATATTACACATTAAATTGGTCGGATTTTCATGAATTTTTGTAATTAATTTATTTTGTATATAAATAATCATATTACTGTTTTCCTTCAAGATTGGAATCAAGAGGTAACAAAGGGAGTGCCCGAGTGTCGTAACCAGGCGATTGGGTGTACACTCATCACACATAGATTGCGAGTACTGACCACTCATCATGTCCCGTTTACTGCCTGAAGGATCATGATTAGTATTGTTGTCGCGCATCTATTTTATAGGAGATATCGGCTCCTATCTTGTCTCGGTAGGCGGTGTGGGATTATCAGTCCAGCGTGAGTTATAGAACCAGCTAAACCAATCCGAGAAGTGAATTAGCAATTAATGATAATTTAATCTTCCATTATTCTATTGGGTTTAATTATTTGGTCACTGTTTATTGGATATATTTTAATTTGAAACTTTCCCCAATATTAAATTGATTCATAGTTTTTATAAATTTTATTTTTTAGATTTAAATGAGATTGAAAGTTACTAGTAATTGTTGAGTGTATTAACAAAACATATTGTATCGTAAAAGGAGGATGTATGTTATTAACAACCGGTTGATCTAGTGATATGAGGTATTAGGCTTCTTAAGTAAGATTAAGGGTTCAAATTCTAATGTTTGCAAATGAAGTAAATTGGGCTGGGAGTGTCGCCATCGCCTCTGCACTATTGAATCTAAATAAGTCAATCAATAGATCAGATACTAGTGATCAATTAAAAAAAAGAGAATGTATGTTTGAGTTTTAGGGATAATATTTTTAGAAACGATAATCATAAACTATAAATATAAATCAAAAAACAAATTTAAAGAATACCAAAAAAATAAGGTGAAAGTTTATTTTATAATACAAAGATAATAAAATATTTTATACTAAAATTTTAAAATTAAAATTAATCAAAAATATTATTTCTTTTCAGAGATATTTACACCAAAATAAATAAGGGATTCCATACTTATATGGAGCATCTTGTGGCCCAAAGTTGGGACACGCCACAGGCCATAATTAGAACCCTGTTTACAATCAAATTCTTGTAGACTCGCGACTCGTATCACTACTAGAAAATTATCTAATACACGTGTAGTGTAAATTTTAGTTTTTTTTTTATCTTTGTGATCTGCGACATAATCATTATTGATATTAGTTGACCATCGTTGATATTTATTAAATTTTTAGAGTGTATTTTTTTATTTTTATTTTTATTCTTAATAATTATGTCTTTTTGGTACGTATTATTTTAGGTTTATGACATATTTATTTTGTCTTTATGTAACATTTTCAAATGTTTGAATGTTGTTTTCGTTTATTTTTTTAAGGTTATATTTGACATTAGCACGATTGATCAAGATGACACTTATTTGCTATTATGATGATCTTTCCTGTTTTGGACCATCGAATTGAATTTGGATATGCGATTTACGTTCGTGAATAGTACTTTCACATCACTCGATTCTGATTTGCAGTATATCAGTAATCTATCAATAGCTTTATTTCTTTTTGTGATTCGGTTGTCGATGTAGTCAGATCTATTTGTATTTATCTCTTATTCGAAATTATTTAGTTAGATTTTTTAACCTTTTCCCAATAACTAGTTTTCTTGTATTTAGCAAAATATTCTTATTATATGTTTAGTTTACAATTATGGTTGTAAACGTTTATTATAAATTGAATATTTTATATTTTTAATAAAATTAGTAGCTTATGTCAAAAAAAATTATTTGCAAAGTCTAAAGTAAAATTATTTTGTTAATTTAACTTATTTAAGATAAATGTTCATTTCAATATCCAGAAACAGAATTATGGTATAGGAAAAAAAACAAGCAGTTCAGAGTGTATATTACCTACCCTAATGCATCATTTCAACAAACACCAACCTATACAAAGCTGATTATTAGCTAAATCAGCCATGCTTATATAATCTCAGTCATCTAGTCTGTGCAACACTTTTTGCAAGATCTATAATCTACTGTTCTTGTATGCATTTGTTACAAAAAACAACTCACTGATTTCTATCAGATTTTACAACTTAATATATTGGGTTTTATTCTCTAACATTCAATATTCTCTTTCTATCGTACGATTCCATGTATACCAAGTGTTAACCATACTTGATGTTCACATGACAACAACTTGTAAACACAGATTCCAAATACAAAAAATTAAATAAATAACCCCTAAAAGAAAGCAAAAAGCAAAGAGTAAAATCCTGATTTGACTAAACTGACACCCTTTAATCGAATCTCTCTCTTTTTAGCACCGTTTGTTATATATTTCTCGAAGTAACACCTTTTCGGCTGAGGTGACGAAAGACGCATCCCCGGAGACGCGCTTTATCTGGTTTTACGTTGAGTTAGATTCCACGTGTGAAAAGCGCATCCTCGGGGACACACTTTATCTTTATTTTATTGATTTAGTTGCCACGCGGTATTTTTTTTAATAATAAAAATTTTATTGTTATTGTTATTATAAATTAGTAATATATTATGTAAATTGTTTCAGTTATAATTTAATAATTAACGAATGTATTTTTTTAATGTGTGTTAAAGGTGGAGTGTATTATCCACATTAATCGGATAGAACAACAGATGAAAACTAATTTTTATTTTATTGTAGTTATATGAAAAATGTATAAAATTATCATATTACACGTATGGTTATATTATTATTTTTTATTTTGATTATCGATCTATTAATTTTATCACTTAATTATTTAAATATTATCAAACTAGTCATCTGTTATTATTATTTAACCAAAATATTGATGCATAAGTTAATAAAATTAGTATAATTACACATTTAATCTGTTATTATTATTATTATACATTGAGAAATTATAGAAAATGCAATTACTTTTAAATATTAGAAACAAAAACATTCATTTAAATAGAATATTAGGTTACATAAGGGTTAACGATTATTTGATGATAATAGAGCTGGACATTTTTTCTAGAGAAAATAACCTCAGTGACCAAAAATGCCTTATAATATACGATTTTAACCAACTTTTTTTGGATTTGCCAAAATGACCAACTAAATCGCAATGCGATCGATAATTCGCAACGCGATCTCCGGTATCGCAAATCAGTTTCCAGATTCGCAACGCGATTTTGACTATCGCATTGTGATTTCCCAAATTCGCATTGCGATTTTCCTAATTCGCAATGTGAATACGTAAATCGCAATGCGAATCTGACTATCGCAATGCGATTTACATAGCGCCATTCGTATTAACGCATATTTTTTTTTCAAATTCCAAACACGAATATATTAATATATCGGAACACTGAACTGTCCACAGTATATCCCGTAATCGCAACTCATAACCTAAAACCCTAAATCACAACTCAGTCTCATCTCCATCTCTCACTCTCTAAGGCGACATCCGTCCCCATCTCCGACGAAATCAGTCCCCACGACGATATCAGTCTCCATCTCCGACGAAATCATTCACGGTCAGAAATGGAAAATCAACCACCGAGGGTTAGTTTTTTTAATTATTTTTATTTTAAAATTTTTGCATTATTATTAGGTTTTTCATATTGAAATTGATAATAAGTTTACTGGTGTTTTCAATAATATATTAACCATTTCACTTAGATTGCTTATTATATTCATTCGATTGCTGCCAATACTGCTAAACTGTTTAGTCTTTAACCCTGTGAAGTTAGTATTTGTCTTTGTTTTGTCTTTTGGTTGAAGTAATGCAATCCATTCAAGTTTCTTTCAATTTTAGTATTTGAAACCGAGAATGACTATCGCAATGCGATTCTGTCGTTGCGATTTTCATTTCGTGTTGCGATTCTTACGTTGCGATAGTCAAATTCGCGTTGCGATAGTCATTTTCGTGTTGCGATTTTCATTTTCGTGTTGCGATTTAAAGTTTCAGAAACTATTCTTCTTCTGAAAATTGAAACTTGAATGAATTGCATTACTTCAACCAAAAAACAAATACTAAATTCACAGTGTTGCAAATTTAAGTTTGAAGAATAAACTACTACTCTTTATATTTATTGTTCATATCTTCACAGTGTAGTTTTTGGTATATCTAAATTGGTATGTTTATTGTTTTTGCAGAACTTTTATTCGGCTCAATTGACCTTAAGAAATAAAGTAAGCCTGGCCAAAACAATTGCATCGAAGCTTTCACCTGCACAAAGAAAAATATTTGAGGATACTTGCTTCGGGCCATGGCTGAAAGTACAACATCCGGGTGGAGATGCTATGTTGATCCATCTGTTTGTTCAAACCATGACTAGCGATCTACCAGAGACTATACAACGTCGTGATGAAGAGATATGGTTTGATTTTCCACCGGCGTATACGTGTTTTGGGCGGGAGAAGTTTTGCTTAATCACCGATCTACACTTCAGACACGATGATGTATATCGGTACACTAGACATATTACCCGCCTATCATGGTTTTCCCAGGTTTTTCCTGAGCTGTCAACGGAGAAGTCGAATTTACACGTGGAAGACTTGACGAGATTATTGAATAAGAAATATGGTTTTACTCGGATGGATGACGTCGATGTTGTCCGAGTATGCCTTCTAATACTTTTGCAAGCCGGCTTTTTAGGCAGAGAGGCCCGACAACCTATTCCTAATGATCTAATTAAATTGGTAGAGGACCTAAATGCATGGAACCTGTTTCCGTGGGGTTCGTATCTATGGAGAGATACATGGAATAAGTTTTCGCCTGCCTTTAATGATCGGAAAAGTTTGCGTGGTGATGGTTCCAAATACACTTTGTCAGGCTTTATTTGGGCCTTAAAGGTAATAATTTTTATATAATGTTTCCAAAATTATAATTAATTCTTTAACAATTACTAATGTTTGTTATTATATTGTTTGTAGATTTGGATATTTGAGGCTTTTCCCGCCATTCAGACATATGCATTAAAAACTTCTAATGATATTCCTAGGGCTATTTCCTGGAAGAGGAAACGTTCCTTGCAGCAATGTGAATATTTACTACCATATACTACAATAAATAATGTAAGTTAACACAAATACTACCATATGTTTATAAACAAGTTATTACTAGCACACGTTTAACTTTGTTTGAGCTTTTATATTGTTAGGAGGCCAACACTCCATTACAGAGGCTGACACTCACGGAAACTGAGCTTGCCACTGATTGGTGGCAAACTAGTAAGCTTTTTTTTATGGCACGGATGATG